CCCTGTATCTACTAAAAGTACAAAAAAAAAAAAAACCAAAAACCTAGCTGGGTATTGTGGTTGGTGCCTGTAGTCCCAGATACTTGGTAGGCTAAGGCAGGAGGATCACTTGAGCCTAGGAGTTTGAGGTTGCTGTGAACTGTGACACCATGGCACTCTACTCAGGAAAACAGAGTGAGACTTTGTCCCCTCCACTCAAAAAAAAAAAAAAAGAACAAAGTAGAGTTATAGTGGGAGAAGAACTATTTGAAGCTCAATATTGAATCAGGAAGAGGTGAGTCTATGGAATTCCTGGAAAGATGCCCAAGGAGGCAATTGGATGTGAGGATCTGAACTTCAGGACAAATGCTGATCTGAAAATATCTCTGAAAACTCTTCAGGAGGTAAGTATTCCTGAGAGCTGGTAAGAAGCCAAGTGACATAACCAAGACAGAGCTATGATGATGCCATGGCACTCTACCCAGAGTTAGAGGGGGAGACTGTCTCAAAAAAATAAAAATAAAAATCTCTAGCTTATTCAGATGTGAAAGGAAAGCTCCTTTCTTCCCCACTTCATATACATTTACTGATTTCTGGCACAGATACCACCTCATTTTAGCTTCTGTGTTCTTGCTGCTACTCACCTGTGTGACAAGCTCTTCCATAGGAGCAGGGATGAGGTCTTATACTTCTCTGCATGCATAGTGCTTAGCACAGGTGCTTATTAAATCAGATCCCTGAATTTCAAAATATGACATGAGGAATAAAACCTGCAAATAAGATAACTCACCTGTCCATAGAGGCTCATTTTTATTATTGTTTTTATCAATTGATGCCAAAGCTGCTTCTGAAAAAAGAAGTGGGAGAAATTTGCATCTTTTAGAGCTGAGGCCCCTGGTAAGTGTGCAGCTCTCTGAATTCCTTCCTGCTGTTTTTAAATTTGTCATCTCCCTCACCTGTATGTTATAGAGAGGGATCATCACACTAGGAACTGATCTCTAGCTGAAATAAAACTGGCAATGTTTTGGAAAACAAAATGATGGAATTCCCTTCTATATAAAGGCTGAATAGTATCCCCTTGTGTAAATGTACTACCTTTTCTTTCTTTTTGGGAAACAGTTTCACTCTGTCCCCTCGCATAGAGTGCTGTGGTGTCATAGCTCACAGCACCTCAAACTCTTGGGCTCAAGCAATCCTCCTGCCTCAGCCTCCTAATTATCAGGGACTACAGGCACTCACCAGAAACACCCCACTAATTTTTCTATTTTTTAGTAGAGACAGGGTCTCACTCTTGGTTCAGGTTGGTCTCAAACTCCTGAGCTCAAGGAATCTATCCACCCCTGCCTCCCAGAGTGCTGGAATTACAGGTGTGAGCCACCATGCCTGGCCCTGCATACTTATCTTTACATTACTTATAATGTCTAAAACAATGTAAATACTATATAAATGGTTAAGTAATTGCTATACTTTTTGTTCCCACCTCCACATATTCTTGATCTGGGATGAGTGGAACCTGCAGATGTGAGACCCTTGGGTATGAAGGCTCCCCACATGAAATCTGACAAGAGCTGGAATGGGAAGGACATGAGAGCAAAGATAGATATGGTAAGACTTTATGAGGACCTAGCATTTACATTCAGGGCAGGTTGCCCTTCCAAGCCTCAATGTCATTTCTGAATTTCTAAAATCCTAGAGACTTGGCCAGGCATGGTGGCTCACACCTGTAATCCCAGCACTCTGGCAGGCCGAGATGGATGGATTGCTTGAGGCAAGGAGTTCAAGACCAATCCCAGCAAGAGTCAGACCCCATCTCTAAAAGAAAAAAAAAACAAAACTAAACTACCTGGGTACTGTGGCGGGTACCTGTAGTCCCAGCTATTTAGGAGGCTAAGGCAGAAGAATTACTTGAGCCCAAGAGTTTGAGGTTGTGAGAAATGACACCATGGCACTCAACCCCAGGGCAACTGAGTAAGACTCTGTCTCAAAAACAAAATAAAATCCTAAAGACTGTGACTTCTCCCTCCTAAGAAGGTCGAGTTTCTTCTCACCCCTGAGCTCGTTCTTTGCTTTCATCCACAGATCCCTCCGGTTCATCTGTCTGAAGGCCTGGATGACCACCATATCCACCCAATAGCTGGGGCAGTGGTTGAGGAGGATTTCTGCCAGCTGCTTCCTGTCAGCCGTGTCTACCTCCATCTGGGGGAGCTCCTGTAGCTCATTCTTCTGGGCAAAGGTCTTCAGTAGAGACTTGAACTCGCTTAGTTCATTCTGATCCAGCTTTTCCAGAAGAGCCTTCAGGTTGAAGCCTAGCTCTGTAGAAGACACCATCTTGTCTTCCACGTGAGACCTGGCCTTTGGCTTGATGGAAACATCGAGGGAAGAAACGGAGAGAGACAGTGAGCCAGCACTCCTATTTCAAATGCCCATCACCCCCATGATACCAACAGGGACATTTTCGCTGCCCACCCTGCTGTTCCTCAGGAAAGGAAAAATTCATGTGGACCTCCCCACACCCCTCCCCGCTGGCTGCTTGGCCTGACATACACAGTTCACCTTCAGAGTTTCAGACTCTGAGAGCATGCAAGGCAGAGAGGAGGTCTGTACTGCCAAGTTCCACATACATAGGAGGCTGTTTTCATTAAGTCTATGTACAGGTGAATTAACGAACCATATTGGCTTGAGCTCCTATAATAGCTTGATATTTAGTTATCTTAGGGGGGTATATGGAGGTTGAATACTAAGCTAGGACCCTGAGTTGGAAACATCTTGACACCCACAATGCAGTTGTGTGGTATGGGTTCTCAATATGCTCTTGACCCAGGAGGAGAGTCAGGTTTTACAGACATCATACCTGGATTTGAAACCCTGCTCACTGAACATAGCACATGGATATACTTTTGGCATAAATTTTGGTTTTGGTTTCACTGGCACACACTTATCTCCATATTCATGGAGTATAGATTCATCCCTCCTTATCCACAGGGATACATTCCAAGACACTCCCAGTGGATGCCTAAAACCATGGAAAGTACTGAATCCTTATATATACTGTGTTTTTCTGTAAATATGTATATATCTAAGATAAAGTTTACTTATAGATTAGGTACAGTAAGATTAATAATAAAAGCCTAGGTGCAATGGCTCACACCTGTAATCCTAACACTCTGGGAAGCTAAGGTGAGTGGATTACCTGAGCTCATGGGTTTGAGACCAGCCTGAACAAGAGCCAGACCCTGTCTCTAAAAATAGCCGGGCGTTGTGGCAGGCACCTGTAGTCTCAGCTACTTGGGAAGTGAGGCAAGAGAATCACTTGAACCAAAGAGTATGAGGTTGCTGTGAGCTGTGCTGTCACTGCTCTCTATTAAGGGTGACAGAGTGAGATTCTGTCTCAAAAGAAAAAAGAGAGATTAATAACAACAAATTTGGTGGCAGGCACCTGTAGTCCCACCTACTCAGGAGGCTCAGGCAGGAGGATAGCTTGAGCCCAGGAATTTGAGGTGGCTGTGAGCTACGATGGTGCCAGGACTCTAGCCTGGGGCAATAGAATGAGACTCTGCCTCAGAGGAAAAAAAAAAAAAAAAAGACCAAACCAGTTGAATGTTTAAGCCTAAGCCTGAACTTCCAATTGTAAAACAAGTACAGCATCCCCCCTCTCACTGGGTGGCTCGGTATTCATTTATTCAAATTGAAGGTCCTATTGGACACCAGGAACAAATTTAGAACTAAAGTTCGAGTGGCAAAGAGGACTAAGAACCCTGTGCACCTGGTCCTCACACAATTTGAGCGCATACACAAGGTGTGAGAAGCACACATTCCATAAATACATTCGAACACAAGTAACATAAAAACATGAAGTTGGTATACAAAAGTGGGGGGATTTCCGTTTTGGATTGTGTGACCCATGGGCCTTTTCTCAGAGACAATATTGTTTCAACTGAGATCTACAGAGGTGAGAGGAACCAGTCATGGGAATTTGTGGGCAATAAAAATTCTAAGCAGAGCAAACCACCGGTAGTATCCAAGCCCAGAGCTGAAACGAGTTCTTTGTGTTTTAGGCAAAGCATATGGCTGATAGCCAATGAAGGTGGTGGAGGGGGAACTTGATCATATCTCTCAGATTCTAAAGGCAGGAGATTTTTTTGCTAAGCTGGCTCAAGTTTGGTCAAGTGGGGAGTCTCTGTCCTTGGCTACTTAGGATACTGACTTTATCCAGGTGACAGCAATGCCAGCCATGCCTTGGTAGCCTCCCCCTACTCATCAGGCACTGCAATTGGCTGCTCAGACTTGGCTCATTTAATCCTTACAGCGTCCCCAAGTGGCTTCTTCCCCCTGCTTCAGATATTGGTATGGAAGTAGCACAGAAATTAGGTAAATTGGCCAGGCATGGTGGCTCACGCCTGTAATACTAGCACTCTGGGAGGCT